GGGGTCTGCAGCAGGCGGTGGCTATGCCTCTCCCAGCCCCGGGGTGATGTCGAAGCAGATGCTGCGGGAGCAGCCGTGAGCAGTGCTGTTCTGCTGATGGTGGTCGTGCTGCCTCTTGCTTACTCCTTCATCTGAACCGTCTTCCTATTTAGTAGCTATTTGAGGGCAGGGAAGGAGATGGCTTGCGCACCTTAGATTTTGAAGGAAGCCTGTATCCGAGTGGCTTTGTCCTCAGTCGGGGTTTATGTGTTTGAACAGGAAGCAAGCAGCTTGGAGGCCCTGTTGGTGCTGCAGAGAAGAGGGTTAGCTAGCCAGCATTAAATGTGTTTATTTCTCTGCTCACAGAAGCTTTGAACTTGGGGAGAAGAGGTGTAACCCAAGTGAGCTTATGGTGTTGCTGCTTTTGATGTGTGAGATGGGTGTTTCATGTATAAAGACAACCTGGATGGTTTCTAAATGCAGGCAGTGGGGTAGAGCGGGCAGCAGCCTCCAGGGAAAGGGTGGAGTGGTCTCATCTTTGCTGAGGTTGGTGTGTCAGCGGTTTGCAGGCGGTGCCAGCGTATGGGGCTGGGCTCCTGCTTTTCAGAGCTGCATGTCGCTTCAGAACAGATCTGGTCAATGGGGCGAGATAAAGTGCTGAACATCAGCCCTGTTACCACTCTTCTATGTACCCCTTTGCTCAAAAGACCCCCTGCTCTCCAGCACGTGGCTGGCCAGCTTCCTCCTCCAGTTCACTGGTGACGGTCCCTCCCTCCATCAGTTGTCTGGCCGTGCCTTCCTTCTGGCTGATGTGTCCCTTTGCATGTTTTCCCTGCAGGGCTCGGAATGGAACGCCTCCAATTTGGAAGACTTGCAGAACAGAGGGTGAGTAGCTGCAGGCCATCAGCTTAAAAGCAAGAGCCTGGCCTCAACACTTGTCTGTGCAACAAACTCTCTGCCATACCTGCTGTGTAGCCTGAGTCTTACTAAAGGGTTTGCAGATCTGAACAAGCTCTTGCTTCCTCCAAACTCCACGTACCACAGACAGGCACCCTAAAGTAGGAGAATCTTGTTCCCTGACCTTGACTGACGTCCCCTTGGCGAACAAAGGAAGCCAGCAATCTCATAGCTACAAGTAGCAAAAAGCTACAATTACTGAACTGGGTGCTGCGTAATTGGCTCTGCGCCGTCTGCTCCAGCCCGTTGTTCTGGACTGAGGTCTCACGATTGCAGGTGCGCTGTGGAGTCCCGACCTCCAGCCTGCAGCAGGAAGGAAAATACGCAAAAGAGCATTTGCTGCTTAGAGTGGGGCTCAATAGGACGTAAAATGCTGTACCTCTTGGGCTTAGCACTGACGGGCTCCTCTGTCTCCTGCCTTTTCTGCCTTTCAGGCTTAAGCTTAAAGCATCCTTTCTTTAGGCCAGGTGGATCTAAGCACCAAGATTTTTGCAATTAAATCATTACGGATTTGGCTTCTTTGTGCAAAGCTAGTGGAAAAAACTAATCATTCTGCGGTGTTGAATTGATAGCATACTTCTGTACCTCCGAGAATCATCCTGGCAAAATTCACTGTCCTCATTCAGAAGATTTAGGGACAAGAAATAAATCCTCCCCAATGTGATTGTCTGTTACATCTCTTGGTAGTTATTTCATGCATTTGTTTAACTGTGGTGTTGCTCACAAGCTTATGCCTTCGGTCTTCCTATGTTGGTGGTGCAGCAGGAGGAGAGATTCACAGAGGGGCTTTGAGAAAGTGCCCAAGCACTGATGGCACAGTCTGTGCAGGAGCTGCTGTGACACGAGCATTGCTGACACTTAGAATAGAGAGATGATGGGCAAGCAGTGTAACCTGGCACACTGCAGAGGAAGCTTCTGTCCAGTATGGAAGCCCTTTTACCAGAGGTTAGGCTCTAAATTGCTCAGCAAAACCTTTTGTCTGTTAGCTGCTGCTTCCTTGCAGTAAGTCCTGGTTTCCAAGGAGGTATGTTCAAGACTGCAGCTTCAAATGCTTTGAGTTTTGCCACTCGCAAGGTGAGGCTGTTGTGTGGCAGCTGTGATAGATCTCTGAACTCCCTGGGTTCTGCACACTCTGCATTTTTGTCTGCTGTCTGTTTCCATGCAGGGTGCGGTATATTTTGAACGTGACTCGAGAAATAGATAACTTCTTCCCTGGGCTCTTCGAATATCATAATATTCGGGTGTATGATGAAGAAGCAACAGATCTTCTGGCTTACTGGAATGACACCTACAAATTTATTTCCAAAGCAAAGTAAGTCTTTTTGGAACAGAATAAACACATTTAGAAGATGTATACTAAGCGTTTTACATTTTCTTACAGGTTTTCTTAACTATTTTTCCTCCTTGCCTACCTAGGTTCAAAGCATTTTCATTTTGCAGTTTCTGTCGAAGTGTTAGAGCTGCTTTCCACAAATTTTCATTCTTGCGGGTGCTTGTCCAAGGAGCAGGTAGGGCTAGTGGAGGGTTTCTGCCCAGTCGCGGTCCAGGCAAAGAATGGAGGAGATCATTCCTGTACTGGAGAGCTAACAGCTTGCCTGCTGCTTAGGAAATGCAATGGGTCTGCAGAGGTGCTGGTGGGAGGAAAGGGCAGCAACAAATCGAGTAGGGTTTAGCAAACATAAGAAGCAAAACCTTACAAGCCAAGCAACACAAGCCTGAGCTGTTCCCTGTGTTGTGAGGCTGTACGATGAAGCCCACAGTCTGGAAGTGATTTCTTGCAATGTAATGCTCCAGAGCAAACGTTTCCCTTTAACAGGAGTAAATGCCTGTGTAGGTCTCCGAGCTGTCAGTTACAGTGAGTAATCTGATAGCGGATGCTGAAAGTAGGGCCTTTTTACTGCAAAGAACTGCATCCCAGTTACATGAGCTGTCTCCAGTTAATTCAACAGCCTTCTTAAGGGAAAACTAGTCAGAAAGCAGATTGGCATATGTTGCCTTTAAGGTATCATTTCCATTATAGAAGTCTGTCATCTCTTAACCGTAGCTGGTGCTTGCAATTTCTCATAGCCTTTAAAAGCTGACTTGTTTGAGTATGACTTTCTTGAGCAAGTTATTTGAGACTTATTTTATTTAAGATGGTTTCTTTAAAAGACATCATTGTATACCCATAGGTATTGATTTTGAAGTGTTGTCATCCTCAGAAGTATTCTCCTGTCCAGAATATTTTCCACTGGGGTTTAAACAATTGGGCCTCAGTACTGTGTATGAGGTGATGTAAGTTGACAATCTTCCAAACTGGGGCAATTACTTTACCCCCTTCTTTGCCCTGTCTGCTTGTTGTGCTTGGGTTTTTTTTTTCTTGATCAGCAAAAGCATTGCAATGTTTTGACTAATTTGAATTGCAAAGGAAGTTGTAGAGCAGTCTGAAGGCTGCTGTAGCCCGGTGTTCCCCAAGCAGTGCCGACGTCTCTCGCTGAGTGTCTGGGGAGTGTGGATGCAGGTACAGGCTCAGACAGCTGCGAACAGCTGAGGTCTGAGCTTGTCTAGGCGCATGACTCTGTGTGCTCTGTGGCCTCCCAGTTTGGCCTGTGGGAGCTTCACGTGGCTGGCAATCCAGAAAACATAGCACTTCAAGGAGAAAATTAAAGGTGCCAAACCAGAGCGCTCTCAGCCTGCTCCGTGCCAATGCTGCCCAGCGCACGCAGTTCACAGAGAAGAGCTCTAGCTTCCCTCCTCGTGTTTCACAGCAGACAAATATTTTTTAATTCCTTGGAGCAGAGTGCTGGCTGACTTTTTAGGCCGTGTACCATCCTCACCAAGCAGAGTAGCTGCTCATTGCACTCAAAGGCAATGTTTGCTTTGCCTTCAATAAGAAAAAATTGATTAAAGCCGAAGGATCTTCCATCTGATTGCAGCAGGGCACTGCACTGGAGCTGTCAGTTGAGGTCGCTGCCTCCAGCTATGGGGAGGTCATCTTTTCCCCTCGCTTGCATTTGGGCAGGTACCGACATGAAGGACTGTTATAAACAGAGCAGGGGGGTGAGCTTTCTGCCTACAGAGAGTCCTAAGAAATGGTGGTATCAAGGAAAATCTGGTGGTATCAAGGAAAATTTTGGCTGGATTCGCAACTACTGGTGTCTCGAGAGATGTGGGTGGAGGCTGGGTAGGGTTACAAACACCTGACTAAAGCAATGTTGGTCTTGTCCAGACAGTTGCCAAACCCAATAATACACGGTCAAAAGTTTGCAGCAGAAGCACATCTCTGTGCTAGGGGCTGCCCTGAACTGCTCAGTATCTTCGAGGGATGTGTTTCTAAACTGTGACGCCGCGTTTGTGTGATAGATGCCCTCTTTATTTGGCATACTGCTTGATACCGGTGGGCCATTTGGGCCGAGTTCAAGGATGCCATGTTAGTCTTCAGCAGTCTTCACAAATCTCAGCAAACAACAAACATTTGTCGACTTTGTGATAAAAGCTTCAGCAGAGCTGTTTTAACAAAATCTGTTAAGAATATTAAGATCTTGTTCTTCACTTTGCTTGTGTGTCTTGCTCCAGTTTGTAAATTGGATTATCAGATCACATCCCAGAGACTTCATCTGAGGCCACAGTGTTGAAAATGTGTTTGATAATGCTCTGGTAGAGTATTTGCTATTTTCCTAAGCTGCTCAGAGGCTGTGTTTTCTGTTTAGTGATCCTCTTTGTCTTTCTCCTGCTTCAGGAAAAATGGTTCGAAGTGCCTGGTGCACTGCAAGATGGGAGTGAGCCGCTCGGCATCCACGGTGATTGCCTACGCCATGAAGGAGTACGGCTGGAACCTGGACAGGGCTTACGACTACGTGAAGGAACGGCGCACCGTCACCAAGCCCAACCCCAGCTTTATGCGGCAGCTGGAGGAATACCAAGGGATCCTGCTGGCCAGGTGAGTGGAAGAAATGACCTGGGTTACCCGTGTTAAGGCATAACGCTTAAATGATTGACTCCATTACTTTAATCATAATTTCCATCGCTGCGTTATGTAAGCTGTGATTGTCTTGGGAAAAACAGCGCTCTGTTTTCGTGAGTTATCTCAGCTGAGCCTGGGAAAATGGGTGTAATAAAGAACTTTTAGGAGGCTGTTTGGCTTCTAGGATGGCTGATTTTCAGAGAGTAGCATCCCATGAACTGCCATCCGAATGCAGCATTCAGAGCTGTGCAGACTCCAGCAGGGATAAACGATGTCCCTACTGCTGGTAACATCACTTGGCAGGGAGCTTGCTTTGTCTCCGTCTCGGCCTTACAGTTCCCTGCTGGACATGCCCCTCCTCAGCAGCTGGTCTGGTTTTATTTAGATCCCTTCGGTAAGTGTTGGTGTTAGGGGAGGGGACAGGATGTTCTGTGCATTGCAACAGCCGTGTTTATTCCTGTGGGGAGTTCTGAGGCTGGTCTGGAGCTGGGCCGGGGTATGGGCAAGTGTGTTGTAATCCCAAGTTTATCACCTGATCAGCAAAAAGACATCAATATTGCGTGTTTCTGAGAAACCCACTTGTAAGCTGTGTTAAGCAATGTCTTCACGTGATCAGCTGGAAGGAGGTAGTGATACTCTGTGTTTCGCCAGATTACGGTATTTTGTTTAGGATCCTGTGTGTGCTTTGCCGGGGAGCAGATCTGAAGCAAGCAGAATTACCCAAGCTGAGCCTCCTGCCACAGGAGGTGGATCATAGCGCGTTTTAACCACAGTAATTATTTCATAGCTTCTTGGCGCTTTTGAAAGGTGCCTGCCTTATGCTGGTCTTCCCGTTTTGACCACAGTAATTATTTCATAGCGTCTTGGCGCTGTTGAAAGGTGCCTGCCTTATGCTGGTCTTCACAGGCACTTGTGTTCTCTTTAGGGCACACTTCTCACCTCTGTCCTCTGCATGGTTTTGTCCCTTCGAGTCTGTCCTGTCCTCTTGTGAAGACCTCCCTTCCGTTTTTCTGTGCTAATGAGTTACCGTTCCTCCTTTTACTCTCCACCTGCTCCCAGCGGTCTGGTTCATTCTGCTGCTGGGTCAGGTCTGGATTCACAGTTTTTACACCAGATCCCTGGTGTAAGCTCCTCCT